TGCAGGTTTTTATCTCTTTTTACTTATTTTTTATAACATTCTTACTTGAATGCATGTGTATATATATTTTTTCTGTTATTTTCATAGTTTTTAATAATCCAACATGTTTCTTTTTTCTTTTTGTCGTTTCGTTTCATGATGAATGCTACGATATGTTTATTTGATCTTCCTATATTTTTGTCTGTTTAATTGTAGTTAAGGTTTTTTCCTATTTTTGTAATAGCATATTACTTTGATAAGTAGCTTAGAAGAAAAAAAAAATTCCTAGAATAATGCGGACAAGACATTTGAATTCCTAGATAATATTTGCATGTTCTACTAATTAAAAAATATATATCTCATGTACCTATCTATCTAATACTAAACTTTTATTATTTGATTAAAAAAGTCTAAATTTAATTTTTTTAAGAGAAATGTAGGTAATAAGATAGTTATATGTAATCTTTAATTTTTCATTTTTTAGGGTTTCGGACTCATTTAAAAAAATTTACCGAACCAAACCAGTTTAGTTAACTGTAGCCCAATTCCAATCTAACCACTTCTGGCTCCATATCTACGTACGTAACCTAGTCGGGTCCGAGTCAACCCGGCTAGTTTAGCTAACATGGCCTAGTCAGTTCGGAAAAATTTCAGCTCGACAGAGGGCACGATCGTCATATCCGGCATGGACTATTTGAAAGGGTCGAATGCTAAATTAAACAAAGTTGTCACAAAATTGAGCGGTAGAAAAGGGTCATTTATAAGCTCTTATTAATATTTTGGGGGAGCAGGCAACCGTTAAGCATCGCAGTCCGACCGTATAACGGAAAAAAGTAAGCGAAATGGCGCGCCGCCACGAGCACAGTTGTAACGGAACAATGTACCTAAAAGGTCTATAACGCCAACCGGTCGCCACGCGTCAGATGACGTGGGCATGCTCCATAGCTGTCAAAGACCATGCACATGACATGCATGCATCGATGGGCCCACGTACCCGTATCAGCTATTCAAGTGTTGCCACGTGTGTAAGCCATGCCCCAGGCCAAGGGCTATCCATGATGAGTGTGACAAGTCATTGGGCGCGGGCGCCAAAACGATTCCCCGTCTCGCGCACGAAGCCCGGAGATGCGTACACGTCGCTGTTAGCGAGCTCACGGTTTGGGCTTTTTTATGAGAAATGACGGAAATAACCCTTTCTTTGTCGTACTCTGATCTGATGTTTTTATGATTTGAGAGTGACTACACCTTGTGGTGGTGGCTACATACGCTCCCCCCTCGTCTTGCGAAATATATGTAAAGGAAAACGTTTATATAGGGTCGAGGCTCTAAAGAATCAAATTAGAGCGCATTTCAAAAAAATTATTTGAAGAGGTTTTTTTTTTTATGTCAAAATATCCTCAAATTCATCATTAGACATCAAGATAGAAGATGGATAGATATGAGAAAAAAATGGATTTTGAGTTTTGAAAATTTTGCATTTTATAATGTATTTTTTGGACAATCAATTTTCAAGATTTTAAGTTTTCATAGATTTGCTCAATCCACACTAATTTTGAAGCTTTGATTTTTATAATCAGAAATCAAAAT